TATTTTGTCTGGTTATTTATCAGGGAGAGTAATTATTAATCATCATTCATTACCGTTAGCCATGTTTCCAAAGCACTCGGCGCCAGGCCATGGAGCAGCAGCGAGAAAAGAATGAAACTGGGTTAACAGCTAAATAAGTAAACGTACGGAGTTCTAATGTCTCTTCCTTGCAACCAACTGGGCTACTTCTCCCCCCTCCAATTTAGAGACCCAACCATGGCTAGCTGGAGGGGTTACACCCAGCTTTCCCGAGCACACATTTGGGGGCTCCATTACCCTTAATACGTTTCTATCGTGAAGGCTCGCTGCTGGCAGCAGCTACAAGAGGAGTGTGTCCTGAAGCGGGGGGGTGGGGGGGCAGGATTCTAACTTTGCTCTCAGACGTCTCCCATTTGAAGGGAGGCGAGAGGGCTCTTTTGTGGGTACCGAGCAGAGGAGTGCAGGGTATTCAGAGGCGCTCTGTCGTCCCATTATTAATGCTCGCAGGCTGCACTAATGACACAGGTAAGTTGACAGCATACATCCTAGCCGCCTGCTGGACTGCATCTCGTTTGTTCAAACATACTCTCAAAGGTGTCCAATCATTTATCAAATTGAAATGACCGTGTCGCGTTCCAAAGGCCCGGAGCATCCAAATCGCCTCCTCATTTCCTAGCACCCCCTTCCCAAAACTCCACCACCGCACGGGCTGGCAAAAGGGAACTGTTTGCAGGGCAAGTCTCCTTGTCCTGCCTGTGCCCAGAAATATGGCATTTCATGATTCTGCCTTTTTTCATTCTCTGCCGTGTCACAGACTCCAATACAAATCTACTAATCCAGCAGGAAATGATGGACTCCAGAAGCCCAACCAATTAAATTTAGACTCATGAAAAGCTCGGTGGCTAGTAAATTATAATTTTTATTAGCTTGAACAATGTTCCCGTAAGAGAAAGTGGAGACTCTCCCATGAATGGCTCTTGTATAATTTATTTAACTTCATGGGCCTTGCCAAAGCCCGGAATATTTTTAGATCTTTCTGTTGTTGGGTTTGGCTTTTTTTTTTAAGCGAGTTTCTGGAGGGGTATTTTTAGACTCATACATGTTATTTTAACAGACTTCTTTGCATTTGGACTTCCATATGTCACACAGCCTCTCCTACAAGGCTGGGCAGGTTTCTAAGAATTGCTGGAGTCAATTTCTTAGGATGCGCTATTTGCACCAAGGCTCTGCCTGCCACTAAATTAGCATCACCCAGCGTGGATAGTCCTATAGAAAAATTCCACTTCTTATAGGAATAATTAGACATGATGGTGTAGCAATTCCCAGTGGAAAAATGCACATTCCAAAATTGAGCTTTAATTTCCCAGTGTGTGTGTTAACCGCAGCTGCCTTGCATAACAATGTATATCTTACAGTTCTTGTGCAAAAGATCAGCCCTGGCAGTTCCTAGCTGTTAGCTGTGCATTGCCTTTGATGTCTCATGCTACTTGTCATTTATAAGTAAAGATGGTTAGAGTCTTTAGAACATGTCTTTGAACAGTAACTCTTTTAGCACCTATTTAATGCTGGTAACTGTGTTGCAAAAACACTCACTGGTGTCATGCAGTTAATGAGGTATTTACTAAAATGTATTTTCTTTTTTAAAAAAGAAGAACACTAAAGGCAGTGGGGGGAAACCCCTTTACAGGGTTTTTCTCACCAGGAAATTACTGGATTTAATGATAGCTAAATCTATATGAAGATCTATTATTCCTTGCAAGTTTCAGGGCTTGGACGGTGGTGGAGTAAAAGATGGAAGTACTCCACCAGAAATTCTCGGCTTGCAGTCCTTTATGGTCCCTGCTAGAGACGGCTGCCATTCCTGATTACTATTAATCTTTATTAATTAGTATGATGATTATATTTGTGTTCCTAGCTGCAGCAGTTCACAGATTATTTCTTATTGTCAGCCCCATTCAAGCCGAAATGCTGAAACATGCAGCTACCTTGGAGGGGTGGCAGGGGAGAGAGAGACAATGTTTATATTTGGAGGTTTCCCTAAAAGATAAGAATGTCTCTCTTACTAAATAAGAGTCTACAGCAATGTTGAAATTTCAGCAGCTCGAGGCAGCAGGACTGCTAAATAACCCTGCTCCTCTCTCTCTCTCTCAACTTTCACAGCTTTGACTTTGGACCATCTGCATTAGAGACAAAAAAAATCTACCACTGCACTAAAAATAACGCTACAAAACATTTTAATTGCACCTTTTGTGACAAGGTTACTATAACAGCACTTTACCATAAAATTTCTACAGCAGGATTATAAAACTCTCAGCACTCCGTTTTAAGAAAAACAATTTGTGAAACATTAAAAGCTAACTCCAAAATCAAGGTCTTTGCAGCTGACTTAAAAAAAAAAAAAAAAAAGGACAGTTTGAGGGGAGAGAGGAAAGCTTTCCGCGGGGAGAGAATGCCACAGCAACAGGAGTGTTACAATAAATGCTCCATCAACTGTGTATGCCTTCTGGAATTTTGCCTGACTAGAAGAATGACTGGACATAAAAACAAAGTTCATTCTGAGCAGCGCTTTCCTTATTAGAACCAATATACCCCCAATGGATCTGTCTCATTTGGGGGCCTTCCAAGCCGTACATTTCAATTTTTATCCAAATCTCAACCTGAAAATTGAAGGAGTTAAAACAATTCCGTCAGGACAGGTTTTGCTCGTCGTCGTTCCTAAGACATCCCATGTGTGTATGTTTAAAAGCTGAGAGCAGGGGGTTAAGAGACATTAATAACCTTTTTCAGATTAAAAAAAAAACTGGCAAAGCTCCATCCAGTCTAGTCGGTATATTCCTACTCAACGGCCTCTGGTCCTTGTGAGGTCGTTCCCTGTATTATAATTAAATACTCAGTGTCAAGATACCATCAATAATTTATTCTACAGGAATCACCAATTTGCTTACCTGCAAATTTTCTCATCTCCCCCGAATTCCCCAATGAGACTTAAACACAACGCTGAGGGCTTTAGAAAGAGGGTTTCTCTGAGCTACATGAAGGACTATGTGCTTGAACCAGTGAAGACTACATGGGGCTTTGGATCAAACCTTCTCTGAAGCGGGATGGGGCACTGTCTGAACTAGGGGCACTAACCAAGGAGCACAGAAGAAACAAGGTTTAAACACAAATCTGACAATTTGCCCTGTTTGTCCAGCTTTATATTTTAAAATAAACCCTGGTGTCATTTGGGAGCATCTGTTTCTGAAAGGCTGAGCTGCAATCAGCATATTGCAATTTTGAAAAAAACAAAGGGGAAGGGAAGAAACAGTAAGAGGAAATACACATTTCATCCAGGGAAAATTCTGCAAACATATGATGTAATTATTTAAAATACAGCACATTTAAGAATAAGTATGTCTAGATCATTGCATTTGTTATTGGCACTTTTTTTCATCTCATCATGCTAAAAGCCCATTAGTAATTATGCAATTTTTGTGTGTCATTTTTTTCTTTTTAGGAAATTTACAGTCTTCTTTTGACTGCGCTCCCAGATGACAATTCTCCATTCTAGTCCATCTCATGCCGTCCTTTTTAATCCACGCACTAATTGTAATCCCATTAAAGCAGATATAATTTTATTAGTATTCACAGTTCATCAAGCTAGCAATAATAACTCTTGCTGCTGAGTTTAAAAAAACTGCAAAACATTTACTCTGATGTTTAAAGCAAACTGTAAACAAACCGAGCTAGCTATATGCTTGTGCAAGAGTAGCACTGCATCCATCCATCCTTAAATGTATCTCATACATATACACCGTGCACACACAGCTTCCCACAGCCCTTCTTTCTTGACATTATAAACCAGCTAACAGATTTCAAATCCAGCAGTCTGTGCAGAAAAACTTTGAGGACAAAAATATATTCACTTGCGGGTTAATAGGGAGGCAGCTGAGAGTAGCACACAAGAATTCCACCATTCCCACTTGCAAATACATTTGCAGAGGGAATATGGAGGAAATAAGATTTCTAACTCCAATCTTTCATTTCGCACACAGCAGAAGCTCCCTTTAAAATCCAGTCCACGGCGGATCAACCCTTTGGAAACCTGAGGAGCCCACAATACTCAGAGCAAAGGCAAAATGTGAGGGCCAAATCCTGAAGCCTCAGTTCCATTTTCCCTTACTCCTCTCTCAGGCCAGTTTCCCACTGAGTGAGGCCTGAGAACAGCACTATAGTGGGGATTGACCCCGGCCCTTTGGATATACATCAGTACTGAAGACAATGAATACACACCTTACCTCCCCAGAAACCCCGAGCTGCTCATGCATATAATTGACCCGCTGATAGTTTTTTATTGTGTTTTGTTTAATATTAAGCATGTAGCTAGTAGGTACCTGGTAGATTTCCCCTCACCCCTCTCTGGTTGCAGGCTGCTCTGAAGCATTAGTTGATTAAACGGCCACTGCGGATGATCTCCAAAGACCCTATTGCATCTCACTGGGTCTATTTTTCTTGCCACACTTTGTATGCCTTTAGCAGGATACCGGAGGCACTTGTTAAAGCTATTGCATGGCCCTGCAAACCCATTCGCACCCTGACACTTCAGGGCTTTATATAGAAACAGGATTTTCTAGTCCTACACCACCAGCCCTATTAACACAGCCCGACACACGCCACTGCCCCAATCGGCAAGGCCCCAGCCAGCCCCTCGCTGCTCCCCGCGTCCTGGCACGGAGCAGCCCTTTTGCTCAGCCCCCCGAACGCCTCCTTGTCGTCCCCCCGAGGTTCTCCGGGCTCTTAGGGCAGCGAGGGCTTTTCGGCGGGGTTGTTTTCCTTTCGCCGCCTCTCGCCTCCAGCCCAGCGGCTGCACAGAACAGCTCCCGCCCGGGGACACAGACCGCTAGCGCCCCGCACGGAAGCGGCCCGGGGGACCGAGCGGGGCAGCCCCCCGCGGAGCTGCGCGCTCCCTCCCGCCGGCCTGGCCGCCGCGCAGCCCGGGGACCCGCGGCTGGCTGCGGGGGACGGGCGGGGACCCCACTGACCTGTGTGCGCCGCCATGGAGATGGGCGCGGGGAAGAACTTGCCCGGCTGGAAGTGGCCCGGGTGCTGCACGGGGCTGTGGCCGGACGCGGCCAGGCGGCCGGCGCTGCTGCGGTGGCCCACGCTGCCGCGCTCGGCGAGGAGGTGAGGCGGGGGCGCGAACTCGCGGCCCTCCATGCCGGGGCCCGCTGCACGCACCCCGGCGGGCGAGCGGCGGCGGCGGCGTCTCAGCGGGGCAGCGCTCGTCCTTCAGGGCTCCGGCGGGCTCGGGCCCCGCTTCTGCTCCTGGCGTCCCGGCTCATCCTCTGCGGAGGGGAGAGAGACAGAGCGTGAAACCGGCTGCAGCCCAGCTGGGGGACGGGAGAAATCCCCGGCCCCGGCTCCGGGCTGATCACCGAGCCGCGGCGTTGACGGGGGCACGAGAGGGTTTTAAAAATACAGAACCCGCGCAGCGCCCCCCCCTTTTAACTGGCACCTTGAGGAGACCAGCCCCCCACCCCAAGGCAGAGCAACATTTTACCCAAAACGTGAATTGCATCTGCGAGGGGGAGACAAAAACCTGCCCCCGGACCTGAAAATCCCCCCGGATCTATGGGCCCCGGGCCGCCTGGGTCAGGCCTTTTGACGGGGCTGGGCTGAAAAAATAAAATAAATAAAATCTCTCCCCGTTCCTCGAAGAATGTATTTCTCCGAGCCGCCGACCGCCCGGGCCAGCCCTGCGCGGAGCCGCCCCGCGGGCGCAGGGGACACTTCCCCCCAACTCTGCCTTCGGGCAGGTCGCGCTGGGCCGCGGCGGGGTCAGTTCTCTGCCGCAGGAGCCGGGCCTGCTTCCCCCACCCTCCGCCCTCGGGGGGAGAGAGAAGTCGCACGATGGGCTCCGATGGCTCCCCGGGACAGCCCGTGCAAGGAGCAGACCCCAGCGCCCGGCCTGGGAGAGAGAGGACGGGGCAGAATTCGTGCCGCTGGCCCCGAAATAAATCTCACCCTCCGGCCACCGCGGTGGCAAACCCTGCCTTCGGTGGGCAAGGCCGGGGCTTTAAATTCTTCTATACACTGTTCCCAGACCAAACAGTTATGTAAGGTGCTTCCTGGGCATTCACTCCGTTTGCACACAAGGCTGTTTGGCTCGGGCCCAGCGCCTGTAACATTAGGCCAAAAGGAGGAGGAGGAGGGCGGGGGGGGTCTTGCTTCATAAATGTGGGAAAAAAGCGAACGGTCAGGTAGCATCTACGAATTTCACGAGCTCCCTACTCCCAGCATTTTGCCTGCGTGTATAAATAAATACAAACAAAGCGCCGGCACACCCGGGACCCGAGAGAAGCCAGCAGTGGGTTCTGCTCCTGCCACACCATTCCTCGCCGTTCAAATCCCAGCCCCCCGCCCCAGTCCAGGGCTCCCAGACACTCGTTTTTGCCCAGTCTTCTCCTTCAATCTGTATTGTTTTAACGTTTCATCTCACCTCCAACCAAAGGAGAATAATAGATTCACTACCCTTAATTGTTAACATTCCAGGGGGGAGAAAGGATATTATTTTAACCCGGATCATAACAACAAAGCAATTAAGATGTTTTTCATTTAGCGAATACCCTTTTCAATTGCTATATTTAATGCTTCCAGCCCTACAGTGTCTTATTTGCAGACTACTTTTGTGTTTGATTTAATCTATAACCGAAAACACAATGTATTAAGTGAATACATATTTGCACAGCTGATAAGTATTTTATGTATATATTTAGATGGGGAGCTTTTGCATTGTAAATAAATTCGAACTAACACAATGAGCTCTCTTTGGCTTACAACTTAATACAAAGGGGGGGTGGGTTTTTTTCTCCCCCTATTGAGATCATAATCTCTCTCTTTTAGCCTAGCGAATATTTCCTACTTTGCAATTACAGGGAATTATTGGAAGGATCCTTCGCTTTGCAAGAATCTTACGGAAAGGGTTTTTTTCTCAGCAGTCAGGCGAAATCACCTAAAAAGCAGCGGAAATGGGTCTGGGTGAGAATACAGGAAAACACCCACTTCAAAGCAATATATAGATATGAAATTCACAGGGGGAAAAATTGCAGCCTGCAAGACAAAGCTCAGTTCGCAGTTTCAGCAGCCTGGCGGGGTGAATGGTTTCACATAGCAACGCGGACGGGAAAGCTTGTTTTGCGGAGGGAAAGATTCCCACTCTCTGATTCATCTCGGGTTCAGATATTTTTAAAATGAATAAAAGGACAGCAATCTGGCCAGGGCCTGGGTGAGCAGGAAAATGTCCCGGGATCAGTTACAGGAAGGGGGGCTGGACACCCCGCCCCGCAGTCCGCTTACGGCTTTGTTTGCACGATGGAATTATTACTCTTATTTGTCAGGATCGTGTCCTGTTTGCAGGCCCGGGTGGAGCAGGCAGCGGAGAAGGGCTGGGGGCCGAGGTGTTACACACCTATGTTCCCAGCCGCTGTTCTTCTGCCTGAGACCGGCGGGGGTTCGGTAACCCCCCCCCCCGCCCCGCTTCCAAACATGCCCCAATCTCCAAACCCCATTCATCAAATCCCCTCCCCCACCCCCCAAAATCTCTCCTTCCGACCATCTCCCGGCAGCCAAGGGCAGGCGGGCCGGGGCTGCTCCGAGTCAGCCGCGGCTGGAACAATGCGAGGAAGGAAAAACACGGAGCGGGAAGCGGTTAAAAATACATCGCGGGGAGAAGGTGGGAACCAATATTCCACCGCAAACGGCCCCGAGTCCGACCCCCCGGCCCAGTCGGGCTTCCACGGACCCCCGCTTCTGCTGGGCCTTGGCGGGGAGGTTTGGTCCGGCCCAGCCCTGCTCGCCTCGGCGCCGGAGCCGTGCGGCGCCGGGGCTGCCGCCCTCCCGCCCCGCGCCAAGGCAGCGGGCTCGGCTCCCCGGCCTCCTCCCCTCCGCTCGCCGCTTTGCGTCCGGAGAGGCTAGGGGCGGCTCGCGGGGCAAGCGCCTGCCCCAGCCCGGCCGCGAGAGCTCTCCGCCGGCAGCCGCGGGGAGAGCGGGCCGCTGGGGAGCTGCCGGGATCGGCCTCGCAGCAAGCCCGGCGAGAGCCCGGGTTGGGGCCGGCTGGGTTCCTCCCCACCCCGAGGCTTTCTCCTGCTTTCTAGCTGGGTTTTACAAACCCCCTTTTTGCACCGAGAGGGAAAAAGCGCCACCAGTCGCAGCTCCTCGGAGAAGAGGCGCAGCCTCGAGCCCTGCACCCCGAGATTGTGCATTTGTCTAACAAAAACCTCCCCCGCTCGCGTTTCCAAATGAAAATTAAACAAACAAAAAGCAGCTTCCCGATTAGAGGGAACACCCTCGGACCCGGGCAGAGAGGAGACACACAACGACCGCCACGGCCAGCAAACGCAGACAGATTTGCAACGAGCTGGCCTCCCTGCGACCAACAACAAAACCTACCGAGCCCGAAGGTTTAAAAAAAGCCGGATTTTCTCCCCAGTATCTCCAACTCAATCTTCCTTTAAAATCTATTAACAAGCAAAGTCCGTGTGACCATAAAAAAAACCAACAGCCTCAACTTGCACCTTCCCCCAAACCGAATTTTGTTTTGGGTTGGTTTTTTTCCTTTGGATTTTTTTTTAAAATTCAGATTTGTCCTCTACTCAAATTTAGCAAATGCGCTGAGGGAGAAAGAAAGCACTCCTCGGCGCTCGATGCAAAGCTAAATCTCTCCTGCAACCACGTATTTATTTTTTAAAAAAACAGAAAGGCTGCAAATTTGCGTCCATTGCCTTTTTTAAAGTGCTACAATGGCTCTGTTTGTTTTTCCTTGCAAAGCACCATTCATAGCTGCATTTAAAAAACCTTAGGATTGCATTAGAAAATTTGCAAACAATTGTATTTTTGTTGGTGCTACCCGGCACTAGGTACAAATTTCCAGGGGTAGAGAAAGCAATTTACTGTAACCATTAAAAATGCCCTGTAGCATTTCTTTTCATTGGAGGTACTAAGTGTAGCGTATTCCAACATGTCCTTTTTAGTCTTATTATTATTTTCAATTGATATGTGTTATAAACAGTTCCAAGCAAAACACTGCTACTAAAATTTTTTTTTACAGATGTAACATTAAACAGAACTACAGAATGTTCTCAAAAGAAAAAGAATAGCAACATGGTATTTTCAACCATCAAAAGTTCTCACTATGCAAAAAATAATAATAAAATTTACAATCCTGGATTTTATTTTAATTCTAAAAAAAAAAAAAGCATTTTTTTAAAAAGCAAACAAAAATAGAATTGCAGTTACTTACTGGAGATATGTTCCTTGCACACAGTGAATGCAATACAATTAAATCAGTAAATGGGACTTTGCATTGTATTCCTATTGGTATTTGCACTGTGCTGACTGTTGCACTGTAAATGCACTGGCTGCTCTTGCAGAAGGGAAAGGACCCTACAGTGGGTTCCTTCCAGCCTCAGCAGCTCCCCAGCCCGCAGCTCAGTCCTGCAAGCAACTCTCCCTGCATACTAATAAGCTCGTGCCACTCACCCAGGGTGAGCACGGTCGCTGATTGGACGTCTGGCCCGCCACGGTAATAAACTCGTGCCACTCTCCCTGCGTAAACAGGCCTCCCAATAGGCTGGCGCGGGGCCAGCGAGCTGCCAATCAGAGAGCAGCAGGGCTACTACTCAGCCCAATGGCGCCTAATTCAAGCCTTGCAGCTGCGCAGCTCCTCTTGCGCAGCTGCCGTCCCCGCTTGCTTGTGAATGGGGATGTACAGCGAAGGCAGCGGCGGGGGGGGGGGTCGGTGTTTGGGGGGTGGTGGGAAGGGGGGGCTGCAATGAGTTCTTCCAGGGAGTCGCTCCAGCCCACGCACGCTCCGAGCAGCTGGGCAGAGAGCGTTTTATTTTTTGCTTTGCTGGACTGGGCCTAGCTGGAAGCTCTGGTAGCAACCACTGCATGGAGCTATTGCGCAGTCTGATACGTGGGGTTGTGGACTGGGCTGGGTACGTGGGCGTTGCACCAAACCGAGCATCCCTTTTCACACAGACGTGCTGCAGTCTTCTAATGGGCCCCTGGCACGCTAGGGCTCCTGTCCTGGTTTGGAGGCCGGCTGGAGAATACGGGAACGGCTTTAGAAAGAGCAGGGGCTGCAGAACGGGGACAGCGACCTGCAAACTCTCTTCCCGGTCACCTGCATCATGCCCGGTCTCAGGACAGGCTCTGTGGGTGCTTTTTTTCTCGAGAAGCCGGAGACTTGTATTCGCTCCCATGCATTCTCTTTCGCCCTCTTCCCCGAGAGAGGTAACCAGCAAAATTAAACCCTGCCCGTCCTGGGCAAGAGGGAGGATCACAC